GTGGGGGAACTTGCACAATCGGTGGCTGACTAAATACTTTTTTGCCCCACTGTATATGATCACCCATTTTTTAGTATTGTGTCTGTGTTGCATACAAATGTCATCATAGCCTTGTTGCTGTATCGATATCACACACATTAGGTGATACTCAGTTGTAATGGAAAATGATGGCAGCTGAGTAGAGAAGAGTTGAGTGAGGATGAGTAGGTACTAGTGGAAAAGAAGCTATAATAACCTGAACAGGTCAGATTCTCTCCGCAGGTAAACCTACAACGCTGTCTACTACCACCAACCCCACCAGTGGTTTGCATATCTCTACAGTTACACCCACTACTACCTTCACCACCTCCACCAGAGCCCCTCCAACCAACACTATCACCACAGCCAACAACTCCAACCGCACTAGGTCCATCACTTCTACCGATGCCACAGACCAACCAACCTCCAACAAAACCCCAGCCACCATTACAACAGCCCCAGGTGCTTTTTCCAGAGGCCCACCCACTTTTACAATGAAACTCGACATCACAACTGTGCCCCTTTCCTCCACTCCACCCCCTGACTCCTCCTCCCTCCAGCTTTGGTTCAGAGTGATCAGTGTGTTCCGAGGGATGTTCTGTCTGTTCTTCGTCTGCACCCTACTAATAGTGTCTTTATATCAACAAAGGGCTGCAGGTAACGCTGAATCATTTACTAGTCAATCAATACACTGATGATTAATACCTTTTTCTGTCTGAATACTTTATGTGTTAACAGCTGATACATTTTGTATCTTGTCTTTGTCACCTGCTGTAGCTGCAGGAAATGAAATGGTGACAACCCCACGTGTCCAGACTGAGCAGGGATTGAACAATAATTATGCCACCAGAGAGCATCACCTCTAAGCTGAACTGATCTCTGCTTAGCTTGTTGATTTTTCTTCAGTGATCCTCCAGTTTTGTTTTGCAGTTGTTGTTTATGATTCATTTTCTTTTGATTTTACATTATTGTTTTAAAATGTGTGCTATGCGTTACTTTTATACATTAAACACCATTTATTGCCAAAGTCTGAAATGATGACGCTTTTTTCTCTGCAATATAATTGTAACTTACACAATTAAATTGTTTTGTCAACGACAAGAACTAGGATGAGAACTACATTCAAATTCTTGTGTACTTCTGTCCAGTCAGACTCGTTTTGAACACCACCTAACCATTGTTAATGCTTCAAATGTTTATCAATAAATGTATACATTTAACAACTTTATTTTTCAGTAGGACTTTATGTACCTCGACAAACAAAAAGATGACAAACAAATAAAGAATTGTTTTGTTTTGTTAAATCGGGGGACTGAAATTGCATTCAAAAACAGACATAAGTATAGTTAACAGACATCAAACAGACATTAATGCCATGTGTAAGTTAATCATAAGAAAATAAATAGAATATTTAATGACTATTAGCTGAGTTTGGAAACTAGTCTTGCTTAAAGTGGAAGGAGAAGTGAGAACAGCAGTGTTTTCAGGACATGCTGTTTACAGTGTCCAAAGTCATCTGTAGTGTGAAAAGTGCTGATATAAAACATCTTTGGTGGAGTCATGGTGTAGAAAAAAAGTACATAAAATCTCTCTCTCTCTCTCTCTCTCTCTCTCTCTCTCTCTACATATATTTATCTATATCTATACACCATTGTTTTTCTTGTGACATTACCAATAAGTTTGATGTGTCACATGGCCCTCTTCCTATTGAAAAAACAAAAGTTGAATCCAAGATGGCCGATTTCTGAATGGCCACCATGATCACCACCCATCTTGGGGAGTTTTGCGCCCTCACATATACTAATGTGCCACAAACAGGACTTTAATATCACCAACCATTCCCATTATATATATATACAGTGAGGTCAATAAGTATTTGATCACCCTGTCATTTTGCAAGTTCTCTTACTTAGAGATCATGGAGGGGTCTACAATTTTCAGCATAGGTGCCTTTCCACTGTGAGAGACAGAATCTAAAAAGAAAAATCCAGAGAGAGATCACATTGTATGAATTTTGAACAATTTATTTGTGAACTACTGTGTCAAATAAGTATTTGAACACTTCAGTCAAAAAAAATTTAATATTTGGTACTGTTGAAATCTCCCAATTCTTTGAATCTTTGGGCTGAAGGAAGGACAATACTCGGTGTATCAATGCTCAATCAACAATCATTTATTTCCATACAATTCAACACTTATGAGCATTTGAACCATCATGATGGGGAGACATGCCTGAAGAGGGTCACAGCAAGTCTCAAAATGGTGACGGGTTGCTCAGCTCTTTATAGTCTCTAGTGGCCCCCATCTAATCGTAAAAGCCAAAACATCACATTCTTTCTCTGTTACAGCGCCTAAGTTATGACCTCGGCAGTTGTCTCTCTGCTTTCTGTAAGGTGGGGGTATGGAATGTGGTCTGTCTATCTCCCCTGTCTTAGACACAGAGATTCCTGCTTACAATCTTCTCTTCATGATTCAACAATTAAGCATGTAATACATTCCCAGCAGATCAAGGATACAGAGTGATGCACACTTATCTAATAAACTTTTATGTGAATATGTTCTGTTAACTCAAAAGTATAACGAGAACTAAACTACATACAGATCACACACTCTATATTAAAGGGTATAATATGATCTACAGCAGTATTCCAATTCAACTACTTTGATTACATATATAAGGTAACATATAATAACAGAATAATCTAACAGTACAGAAGTCTTTGTTAGCAATTACAGAGGTCAAACGGTTCCCGTAGTTCTTCACCAGGTTTACACACACTGCAGGAGGGATTTTTGCCCACTCCTCCATACAGATCTCCTTTGGATCTGACAGTTTTCGGGGCTGTTGCTGAGCAACATGGAGTTTCAACTCCCTCCAAAGATTTTATATTGAATTTAGGTCTGGAGACTGGCTAGGCCACTCCAGAACCTTTATATGCTTCTCATGGAGCCACTCCTTGGCTTTCCTGGCTGTGTGCGTTGGGTCATTGTCATGTTGGAAGACCCAGCTACGACCCATCTTTAATGCTCTGACTGAGGGAAGGAGGTTTTTGACCAGTATATCACAATACGTGGCCCCGTTCATCCTCTCGTTAATACAGTGCAGTCGTCCTATCCCCTGTGCAGAAAAACACCCCCGGAGCATGATGCTTCCAACCCCATGCTTCACTGTAGGTATGATATCACAGCATATCATCATTCTTCTCATCATTCTTCTTCCTCCAAACAGGGCGAATTGACCACAAAGTTCTACTTTGGTCTCATCTGACCACATGACTTTCTCCCATGACTCCTCTGGATCATCCAGATGGTCCCTGGCAAACTTCAGACGGGCCTGGACATAGGCTGACTTATTAAGCAGGGGAACCTTGTGTGCAATGTAAGATTTTAAGCCATGACATCTTAGTGTATTACTGATACTAGCCTTGGAAACGATGGTCCCAGCTCTCTTCACAGCTCCTCCCGTGTAATTCTGGGCTGATTCTTCACCATTCTTAGCATCAGTGATACCCCACGAGGAGAGATCTTCCGTAGGGCCCCAGTCCGAGGGACATTGACAGTCATCATTAGCCTCTTTGATTTTCTGACAATTGCTCCAACAGTAGCCATAGCCCTTTCCAGCTTTGTGAACGTCTACAATTTTGTCTCTTGTGTCTTTTGACAGCTTTTTGGTTTTGCCCATGTTGCTACTTTGACTGGTTGTGGGTTGCACAGGTGTCTTTATGACAGCTAACGACCTCAAACAGGTGCTACTAATTTAGAATCACGAGCAGAATGTAAATGGACTATTTAAAAACAAAATAACAGGTCGTTGAGGGTCAGGAATCTGGCTAATAAGCAAGTGATCAACTACTCATTTGACACAGTAATTCACAAATAAATTGAGAACTTGCAAAATGACAGGGTGATCAAATACTTATTGATCTCACTGTGTGTGTGTGTGTGTGTGTATACATATATATATATA